TCGTTAATGAGATCATGAAACAAATGCACATACATATTTGTGACATGATGTACCTTGTGTGTGTGAAGTTTGAACTCGATCAATCCAAGCATGTCTCAGATACGGATCCAGAACTGAATTCTTTAAAACAAAATGGCCGCCAGTCGGCCATTTCGAACCCGATCCAAAAAAAAAAATGACGTGCATCAAGGTCCTATTATGTTTAATGTATGTACCAAATTTGAACAAAATCCGTCCATGCATAACTGAGATCCGGGTCCGGAATGGTGAAAATGTGCGATTTTGATGCATTTTCGGCCTTAAAATGGCCGCTATTCGGCTATCGTTAATCGGATCATGAAAAAAATGCATGTGCATATGTCCCATATAATGTGTGATGTATGAGTGAAGTTTGAACTCAATCGGTCCATGCATGTTCGAGATACAGGTGATCACGGACGCACGGACGCACGGACGCACGGACGCACACAGGGCAAAACATAAGTCCCCGTTTTCGGACTGCGTCCGAACGGGGACTAATAAAAGTTGTATTGGAGATACTTTGAAACACAGTATCACCATAGGTATGCATTACACACAACCACTACCCGGTATTATTTCGAAATTAACCTCCATGTATTGTACTTTCACAACTATGAGGATAGTCAATACTTTTTGTAAATTGTGTTTTGGCAGTGCTTCTACGTTTCAAAATTGTAATATAACATGTTAAATACATTATAAATTTCCATATAGTTTTATCACAGGCAGTAAGAATTTTGAGGATTTGATTTAGACATCAAGATTTTTGTGAAATACAATTTGTTACATCCATCAGCAAATATTCATAGAATAAGGACTAAATTACAGTTAGGAGATTAGTATGCACTCACTCACTATTAATCTTCATTCCTGTGTGACATTTCTTTCATATGCACATATTTATGTCATATCATATGCAAAGGAAAGTCTTCAAACGTTACATAAATTTTGAACGTAGGAACAAATGAAGTATAGCTGACCATAGAGTGAACATGCTATTTTTTTCTATTGTGAAAGCTACAGGTCTAGTAATCAAGCATACAAGAATATCTTCCACAGTACATATTGCAATACTGTTTTGACAAGACAATAAAATGTGGTATTTCAAAAATCAAAAAGTGCATTATCTAATTCATTACAAAACTAATCTCAGCATAAAAATACATCATTATTGCACAAATATTGCTAAATATGTAAAATAAAGTTACGATTGCTGAGAATTATGCCAGGTAGTCAAGGTGACTTTCACAATAATTTGGCTACCTTCAGGTAAGAGACTCCTCAAGTGGCAGCAAAGAACACAATGAACAAAAAAAACTTATTCAAAGTGCATCTATCATACTGCTAATTTATTCAAAGCAACATATGTAATTGGTTCAAAGCATTTTAAAGATTAACAGCCTCCTGCAACATAATTTAGTGCATTCAAAATTTTTTGACAAATTTTGTAAATGTTAATACAATCATTCACTCAAGTAGTTAATCTGTAAGGGCCTACAAGTGGTAAATTCTTCAATATCTACATACAGGATATACAAGTGATATAATATAAATTATTTGTAATAATTTCATCGATAATTAGTTCCCACAATTTACAAATAAAAATATTCCAATTATCATCCCACTATGTTATAGGAAATTTAGGAAAAATTATTAAACTGATCTGTTATTCAAAGATTCTCTTAAAGTTACTAAGCATGCTACTATAACAACCTATACATCATCTGAAAATTTAGATATGGACGAACACAGTAGTGTCTGAGGGATTACCTGATGTACGGCAAGTACTTTTTCTGAGTATATTGAAAACTTGAAAAGTACATGTGAAAGGTAAGCTCGACAATAGCTTCATGGCTTTTACTTTATTCACTTTTATTTTCTAGCTATTACCAATAACTACATAGATGCTACTGACAATCTGTTGTTTGTACCCCGCCTAGTCATTCAGTCGTGGATAAAGCAGATAAAGAAAAACAGAGACATGATCTTCAGCCCACAATATTACGAACATTACAGGACTTTCACGTTACTGAAAGGGTTAAAAAAAAGTTGAAATAGTAAAAAAACAAGCAGCCTGTCGGCTGAGATGGCTCCGCTGTTAGCAATGCACATTTCAATTAAAAAACTGAAGACATCATTAGAAAATGAACAATATGAATAGTATCAAAGCAATCGGACTTACAGTTTTTAACAAGAAGTCGAAAATATCACTTTTTACCAAAAATTACAAAAATATTCACCAAAATAAATTAATTAGAGAATTGAAGATATCATCACAAAATGAACAAATCTGAGAGAGGTCCACATGTAGTACCTATATATGTAATATCAAAGCAATCGGACTTACAGTTTTCAACAAGAAGTCGAAAATATCACTTTTTACCAAAAATGACAAAAATATTCACCAAAATTAGAGAACTGAAGATATCATCACAAAATGAACAAATCTGAGAAAGGTCTACATGTAGTATCTATATATGTAATATCAAAGCAATTGAACTATTGGTTTTTAACAAGAAGTCGAAAATATCACTTTTTACCAAAAATTACAAAAATATTCACCAAAATTAGAGAATTGAAGATATCATCACAAAATGAACAAATCTGAGAGAGGTCCACATGTAGTACCTATATATGTAATATCAAAGCAATCGAACTTGCAGTTTTTAACAAGAAGTCGAAAATATCACTTTTTACCAAAAATGACAAAAATATTCACCAAAATTAGAGAATTGAAGATATCATCACGAAATGAACAAATCTGAGAGAGGTCCACATTTAGTACCTATATATGTAGTATCAAAGCAATTGGACTTGCGGTTTTTAACAAGAAGTCGAAAATATCACTTTTTACCAAAAATGACAAAAATATTCACCAAAATTAGAGAATTAAAGATATCATTACAAAATGAACAAATCTGAGAGAGGTCCACATGTAGTACCTATATATGTAATATCAAAGCAATTGCACTTGCGGTTTTTAACAAGAAGTCGAAAATATCACTTTTTACCAAAAATGACAAAAATATTCACCAAAATTAGAAAATTGAAGATATCAACATGAAATGAACAAACCTAAGAGAGGTCTACCCAAGGTACATATACACCAAGTATCAAAGCATTCAGGCTTGTAGTTTTCAAGAAGAAGTCGAAAAAGTAAAACATTGACACGGACGACGACGGACAATCACTCATATGATAAGCTCCGCTCGACAAAGTCGACAGCAGAGCTAAAAAAGCTATGGTAATTGGAACATGTTAGTATCATCCATCGTTTTCATTGGTTAATTAGCGATTTGACCTATCAGGTCAAAGAACACCGTCCTAGATCAAAACATGCTGGACTGATCAATACCATCGGGCGTTTAATATGAAACTAAGTTGAAATTTATTTGCATTTCATAACAATTCAACAAATTCATGTTTTGTATGTTATTTTAATCATTACTAGGTAATAATCAACAATTGTGAAACGCAGCATGACCGGATTGCACTACCGTGATCATTTGCTATTGCACTGAAGTTGTGTTCGTTTTTATTTGAAATTTCTTTTATAATTCAAATTTCGTTACTAATAAAATAAAAAAATAATTATATTTGGCAAATATATTATATTTGATTTTTTTTTTGGAGAAAGATGACACTGGGAGACATTGTAATGAAATTTCAAGCGGTTTACTTTAATTCGGCAAGAAAAAAATGTATCAAATTTTAGATTAGCTTCTACAATAATTTCTTTCGTATTGCGTGGTCCAATTGCCGGTGTTGAAAGTCAGCGTAGGTGGATTTTTCAATAACAATAGAAATCCCCAACAAATATTTAATTATCATTTTTTTAAATTTTGAAACCCAGCCATGAAATCGCCCCAGGGTGATTTTATGGATGGGCCAATTTATGGCAGAATCCGATATGACCAAAGATCAGATTGTAGCAGTAAATAATTTGACAAAAAGTGGAAAATGTAATAAAACATTGTTTCCGTCAAAATTGAATACCTGCAGTTCCTGTAGATATTTCTCTGCAGGGTCAAAGTTCACAACCGGGAGTATTTTTCTGTTATCTTCTCCTTTTTGTGATTTTTCAATTACATTTCCTCTGACATAGTCAATTGCGTGATCACATTTAGATAGATACTTGGACTTCAGATGAATAATGACATCATAAACTCCCACTGGTGGTCGGAAAATTTGCTGGAAATAAAAGTATAAAGACATAACATATTGAAAGGTTTGTTAGCTGATTAAAAAACTAGCAGCCTCTCGGCTGAAATAGCTCTGCTGTTATCAATGCACATTTCAATTAAAGAACTGAAGATATCATCAGAAAATGAACAATATGTATAGTATCAAAGCAATCAGACTTGTGGTTTTTAACAAGAAGTTGAAAATATCACTTTTTACCAAAAATATTCATCAAAATTAGAGAATTGAAGATATCATCATGAAATGAACAAATCTGAGAGAGGTCCCCACATGTAGTACCTATATATGTATTATCAAAGCAATCAAACTTGCTTATTTTAACAAGAAGTCAAAAATATCACTTTTTACCAAAAATGACAAAAATATTCATCAAAATTAGAGAATTAAAGATATCATCATGAAATGAACAAATCCGAGAGAGGTCCACATATAGTACCTATATATGTAATATCGAAGTAATCGGACTTGCGGTTTTTTACAAGAAGTCAAAAATATCACTTTTTACCAAAAATATTCACCAAAAATAAAATTTGAGATTTTGACATAAAATGAACAAATCTGAGAAAGAACCATCCAAGGTACTTGCATATCAAATTTGAAAACATTCTGACTAGCAGTTGCGAAGAAAAAGTTGAAATTGTAAAGTTGACTACGTCGGCGACGGACAATCAGTAATATGAGCAGCTCCGCTGTGTCGACTCTGTCCATAGCGGAGCTAAAAACAAAAAAGTGCGAAATTGTAATTTTCTATAATTATGTCTGTCAATTTTGGACCAAACTGAGATAATTTTCTTATTAGCTACAGATTTTATCAAAATTTAAAACAATCAGTCTATCGGCTGAGATAGCTCCACTGATTAGCAATGCGCATTTCAATTAAAGAATTGATGATGATATCATTAGAAATGAACAAATCTGAGAGAGGTCCACCTGAGATACCTATATGTATAATATCAAAGCAATCAGACTTGAGGTTTTTAACAAGAAGTCGAAAATATCACTTTTTACCAAAAATGACAAAAATATTTATCCAAATTGGACAATTAAAGATATCATTACAAAATGAAAAAAATGTGAGAGAGGTCCACATGTAGTACCTAATATACATTGTATATGTAATATAAAAGCAATTGCACTTGCGGTTTTTAACAAGAAGTCAAAAATATCACTTTTTACCAAAAATATTCACCAAAATTAGAGAATTGAAGATATCACCATGAAATGAACAAATCTAAGAGAGGTCTGTCCAAAGTACATATACACCAAGTATCAAATAAAGGCATATATCAGGCATGAAGTTTTCAAGAAGAAGTCGACAAAATCAACAGCAGAGCTAAAATCAAAGAAAGCTCAGAAAGAACTCCTGTGTGCTGAAGGTACCAGATTAGAGGCATGAAGTACAAATAAGGAATACTGTACTTATTAGTATATTAGAAGCACATCCACAGTACGCACATGTGTTTCTAATAGAACAAATGATTAGGGTGGTTCCAAGCAGTTATGGTTTAACAATTATAAATATTTAATGAAATAATAACCATATATGAGGACTTAATATTTTAACAAGGTAGTATATCTTGTCAGACCGCAAAATTATAGCATAAGTTGCATGTCCCCATCTGCAACAAATACATGTAGTACATTGCAGTTAATATGCATATTAAAAAACACACTGAAACTAGAAACAGGTAATTAACATGCATGGATTTCAACCCTGAAGTAATCAGCTCTGTGGATTATCTAAAAGCACCTAATGTACCTAGTTTTATTAAAATGTTATCTATGGAACTCAAGATATCTGTGGAGCATCTAGAAATTGGTGAATTTATGCAAATTAGGTAATTAGTAAGCACAAAATTTAACCCTAAACTGAACATGTATATGGGTTATTCCTAAGTATCTACATATGTATGTACCAAGTTTCATTGAATATGTTGAGTGGTTGAGGCATTGGGGGAAAAAGTTGAATATTGGCTAATTTATATGCAAATTAGGTCATTTATAAATATGGATTTCAACCACAAACTATCCAGGATTGCAAATTATCCAAGAGAATCTATAAATCATGTTTCATGAAAATCTGTACTTGAGAAAAGTTAGAATGCTTAAAATTGGCTAATTATTATGCAATCTAGGTAATTAATATGCACAGTATTTCAACCTAAAACTAATAAGGTCTGCTCATTATCCCAGAGCATCCATGTATCAAGCTTCATTGAAATCTGATAATTTGTACATGCACTATAAACTACAAAGACTCCCATTGTGTGCTTTGCACACAGTAGTCAAACAATATACTGGTACATAGGTTTCATTTTGAAAAGACAAGGAAACAAAACAAACTCAACTTTGAAGTAAACCAATGTAACCAAATTTATATATTCCTGTTACACTGTTCAACAACTATCCCAGAGTGCAGTTTTCTGAAAGTTTTCTGCTTTTGTTTTGTTGCCAGACGATGAAAATGCCATGATGTCCACCAAAGAATAGAGGAAAATTCATATTGTACAAAACTAATGATTGCATTCTCAAAAATGTTCAACCAGGTCACAAAAGTATGTGTTTTTAAAGAGATCTGTGTCCTTTCTGTATTTTTGATCACAAAGCCAGTTAATGTAGTGAGCAAATTTTTTGACACAATAAGCTGCCAAGTAAATAGGTCACTAAATTGATATGGAGGAAAGACTTTCCAAACAACCAAATCTCCAATTATTAACCAATTACAATCATTCATTTATGGAAAGTGCCTTCCATTTTCTGGGATTAAATAACTGATGTCATGTATCAGATTTTGTCCAAGGCAGTGAATACAGTGATTATTGAACACGTTATGTTTGAACATCCCAATTCTTTACAACTGCAGTCTGCTATTTCAAGCAAATCAACTTGAATAGTTGAATGGTGGTCCGCTAATATCTATTCAGCTTACAGGGCCTGTGGACAGAACACGTCAATATGATTTGCTTGGAAAACGGGTGTGTTCAATTCAATCTTTTATTGGATTGAACACAAAACATAACTGAAAGTTCACCAAAACACAAAGTTTACTTAACAACAAGTCATTGAAAATGACATAGTCCCCGTAAAATTTTTGAAAGTTGTCTTTATGCTCGTCATATTAGAGTGGAGGGGTTGTCGCGAGCGTGCCCTTGAAACTGGAGTTCCAGGTTGTTTATTTACATCGAAACACATGTTCCGTGTAGTAGTAATATGGCCAAAAATAAAAACAGCCGTTATTCAGCCATCTTTGATCTGATTATGAAACACACTGATATGTATGATGTATGTGCCAAATACGAATAAAAATGGTACATAAATTGTGGAAATATAGTAGTAAGGCCAATGCACGGACGGACGGAGACCGAATTATAAGTCCCCGTTTTCGGACTTCGTCCGAACGCGAACTAAAAATAGCCTGAAAATCCAGAAACAAATTGTCAGCAGAAATATTCTTATTATACATACGCGAAACTCGTATGCTGGTAATAAGACAATTTGATACTGATACCATTTATGGTCAAATGATGCCCACATTGCGCAGGCGTATTAACGAAAACTGTCTTATTTGAACATGATCCGCAACATGTCACTGACACAGTTTCATAAACTGGCTTCTTATACTCAGAAACGAAGGCTATACATGTAGAAACCTGAATAATCATATTCGAGCTCATTAGAACACAACCCTATGGCAGTGAAATCACTGCAACGCTTACTCTACAAACAACAGGTGTGCAAGAGAAGTTGAGGTGTGAAATTACAATTATTTTGACCTTTATCAGTTTAAAATGACTTGGTAATTAGAAATTACAATGATGGCAACAATTAACAGCTCACATACCACCCCACCTCCAATCGCTGAAGACAATTCACCCCTCATCATTGCAGACGATTAATGCAATTAACTGAAATCAATGGATTTTAAATTGCTAAGGGACCACCCTTTTGATATCCTGAGGGGCAGGAAAATTTTGTGAAAAAAAAAATTCTGTGACAATGCTTGAAAAAAAAATATCCTCTACTATATGCATGTAAAAATTAGAGACAAGGTCTGCTGAAAAAAAAAATAATACCATATCAGATAGGTGGGAAAAGTGAGCTTCATTTTAATCTTCCTGACCCACCCGAAATATCAAATGGTCCGCCCCTAACCAGATTTCTGATCCTTTGACTCAAGTGGTTTCCTGTTTGGAAGGACACAACTATATACTGTTGACCTTTCAACTTTTTATGACCTCTTGCCGGACAAACATTGCTTAGAATGATGACAAGGTATTGAATCAGGGTTATTTACAGTTCACCAGACAGCAGTATCTACTTAATTTTATTACTTCCGATCCAAGGAGATTGGATCGTGACAATCTAAACAAGTACTTCTGACACATGTTTCACCTACAATCCCAGGGAAATCTACCCTAAGATCTTTATCTGTAAATTAAATTAAATTGGTAAATAAAAAACAAAAGTTTCCATGAAATCTATGAAATCCTTTATTTTCACTGAGAATTTTTGCCTTTTCATTGAAGGGATGGTCCAGTGAAAATAAAATCTAGCGAATATACCTTTTCCTATATTCAACATTCAACTCATCAAAAATAAGTGAAAATAAACTTCCTACAAAACAGCCAAAAAATGTTTTCAGTGAAAATTTATTCCAGCTAAAATAAAGCATTATACAGTATAATGAATAAAATAAGTTGCTATTTTTTTCTACATATCTAAATATCAATTTTCACAAGTTTTAAATTTCACTATTTTGGAATATGGAAAGCACAATGTGAAAGCAATCCATCAACAGAATTAAAGATAATAATACTAACTATAAATTAAAAAAACAAAAAAGAATAGGCAAAAATTTGGTTAATTGTACATTTATTGTTTGTGGTCTGTAGAGAATCAAGCATCATTAGAATCTGTTAAGTGGTTCAAGAGATATTGGTAGAACAGCTATAAAATGACTTAATTATGTAAATAAGATAATTAATAAGCACTGATTTCATTGTTGAACTAAAACCACTTGTCTATGTAGTAAATTTCATGCAGCCTACTTGTGCAAAACCTGAAAATAACAAATTCTTGCGAAAAATTTCTATTTTATTACCTTATAATCCTGTTGTTGCTCGTAACAGTCGGACATCTGCTGTTCCAATAACTGGAGTGACTCCCTTGCCAAGAGGATCAAACGTTGTAAAACCTGATAAGAAATTTGTTTTTAATAATAAAATAAAGATTTTGAAATAAACATTACGAGGACACCCCTCCAGGTTTATTGGTTGAATGCCCGCGAATGACCAAATCTAAAAGTCACCGAGTCAACAGGAAGTAAAGGTATGAGGAATGCAGGGCATAAAAGAGTTCTCATTGTATATGGAACTTTATTCATTAAAATTGTTTCAGAAATGAATATAAATGAATTCATTTAGTTTTTAGAGAATTTGAAATTAGAACTTTACTACATTTATGCATTCTTAAACAAGAAGCATGAATTACTGTGGAATACTTTATTTTCGCTGGAATTAATTTTCACTGAAAAGGTTTTTTGGGCGTTTTGCTTGGAATTTATTTTCACTGATTTTTGATGAGTTTAATGTGAATCATAGGAAAAAAAGTATATTCGCTGGATTTTATTTTCACGGAATCATCCCTTCAGTGAAAATAGCGAAAATAAATTCCAAGCGAAAATAAAGTATTCTACAGTATATAATAAAAAACAATCTTCCTGGTTTTAGTGGTGAATGAAATTACATAACATTTGGCAATAATCAGTTTGCAGCTAATTTAAACATGTATTTTTGATATTAAAGTCATGGTTTATCCAAGTTACCAAGATCTATTTTTGGTAATTAAGTTGCAGCTAATCCATACAATGCATGCTCGATAATTCATTGAAAAGCTAATATATCCAGCTATATAATCAGCTACTTCATTAAATCAAGATGTAGCTAATCCAGCTAATATATGTTCATAGATTCAATGATGTAGCTATTCCCCCCAATATATGTTCATAGTTTCAATGAGTAGCTAATCCAGCTAATATATGTTCATAGATTCAATGAGTAGCTAATCCAGCTAATATATGTTCATAGCTTCAATGAGTAGCTAATCCAGCTAATATATGTTCATAGATTCAATGATGTAGCTATTCCCCTAATATATGTTCATAGCTTCAATGAGTAGCTAATCCAGCTAATATATGTTCATAGATTCAATGATGTAGCTATTCCCCCTAATATATGTTCATAGATTCAATGATGTAGCTATTCCCCCTAATATATGTTCATAGCTTCAATGAGTAGCTAATCCAGCTAATATATGTTCATAGCTTCAATGAGTAGCTAATACAGCTAATATATGTTCATAGATTCAATGATGTAGCTGTTCCCCCTAATATATGTTCATAGCTTCAATGAGTAGCTAATCCAGCTAATATATGTTCATAGCTTCAATGAGTAGCTAATCCAGCTAATATATGTTCATAGATTCAATGATGTAGCTATTCCCCCTAATATATGTTCATAGATTCAATGATGTAGCTAATCCAGCTAATATATGTTCATAGCTTCAATGAGTAGCTAATCCAGCTAATATATGTTCATAGATTCAATGATGTAGCTATTCCCCCTAATACATGTTCATAGCTTCAATGAGTAGCTAATCCAGCTAATATATGTTCATAGCTTCAATGAGTAGCTAATCCAGCTAATATATGTTCATAGCTTCAATGAGTAGCTAATCCAGCTAATATATGTTCATAGCTTCAATGATGTAGCTATTCCCCCTAATGTATGTTCATAGCTTCAATGAGTAGCTAATCCAGCTATTATATGTTCATAGCTGCAATGAGTAGCTATCCAGCTAATATATGTTCACTGATTCAATGAGTAGCTAATCCAGCTAATATATGTTCATAGATTCAATGATGTAGCTATTCCCCCTAATATATGTTCATAGTTTCAATGAGTAGGTAATCCAGCTAATATATGTTCATAGCTTCAATGAGTAGCTAATCCAGCTAATATATGTTCATAGCTTCAATGAGTAGCTAATCCAGCTAATATATGTTCATAGCTTCAATGAGTAGCTAATCCAGCTAATATATGTTCATAGATTCAATGATGTAGCTAATCCAGCTAATATATGTTCATATATTCAATGATGTAGCTATTCCCCCTAATATACGAGTCCCATATTGAAAAGGACGCGACACGACGATAACCGCCCTTTAAGTGTTGCTATTTCAAATTGTACACTAGTATAAATTTTACCTGAGTTGAGGGGTCTGGTGTTGTCCACGGCGACGACAATTTATACAGCGGTGTGCTGATAAACATAGCAGGATGCTGGGATCTGTCGCACTTGAACTTCTCAAGAATGTCATCATGATCTCCAGCTAATAAAAACAAAAATACAACAAGCCATGCATGGCACAGTCCCCGTTAGTTATCAAATTTAAGATATATAGTTTTGTTTATAATAATATAGCTGGAATATAACCATGTCAGAAATATGATTTTTTAACATTAAAATGATTGACATTTGTATCTGATCGTTAAACAAGTACTTGTCCATAGATATTGCTCTGGAACAGCATTCAAAATCAGCCATTTTGAATACATGTATATATATAACATGATGTATAACGAATATATAAAATTTGAATAAAATAAGTCAAAGCATTTAAGAAAAATAAAATGACGAGCATGAGAAACCCGTAATGTCTAATGTATGTACCAAGTTTGAACAAAATCCACCCATAAATGCTTGATATTTGATAATTTTTTGGCACAAAAATGACCACCATTCGGCCATTTTGAATAGGATCGTCAAACCAATATATCTGTATAACTATGACATGATGTATAATGAATATGTAAAATTTGAAAATATTATCAGTGAAAACAAGTCGGGGATATGGGTCTAGAAGCCCATTCATTAAAACAAAATGGCCTTCAGACAGCCATTTTGAATCCGATCTGAAAAATAAATGATGTGCATCAGGAACCTGTAATGTCTAATATATGTACCAAGTTTGAATGAAATCCATGATAGTTGATGATTGTTTATCACAATAAAGGCCACCATTTGGCCATTTTGAATAGGATCGTCAAACCAATATATCTGTCTATCTATGACATGATGTATAATGAATATTTAAAATTTGAACATAATCAGTGAAAGCAAGTCAGAGATATGGCAGGAGAACCACCAGTCAGCCATTTTGAATCTTATCTGAAAAACAAAATTATTTGCATCAAGGTCCCATAATGTCTAATGTATATACCAAGTTTGAACAAAATCCAACTGTAAACAGCCGAGAAATGCTTGATTTTGATGATTTTTAGCACAAAAATGGCTGCCATCTTGAATCAGATCGTGAAACAAATTAACGTGCATATGTATAATATCATGTGTGATGTATGTGTGAAGTTTGATTGTGATTGGTCCAGGCATTTCTAAGATACAGGTTTGGACGCACGCACACGGAGGTCAAAACACAAGTCCCCGTTTTCGGACTGCGTCCGAACGGGAACTAAATATACGAATAATAAATATAATTGATTGGCTAGCCAACTCTACTATATAACAACCAGCCAATCGAAAAAATATCTTGTTCCTGTCACTGGTCCAATCTTCTTGAGACTCATGCTAACCTATACTTTTTAACAGCTTTCAGGGAAATATTAATATTTTTAAACACACTAGCTCGTATTCAAAATTGAAAACAGTTAACATTAACCCAAAATTCTTTGACTAGCTAAAGTTTTCAATTATTTAAATTGACATTAATGGTGGGAATCATGTAAAAGTCAAAAACTGTGTGCAGATGAGAATATCTGAAATTCAATATCAGCAGTTACTGCAAGAAATAAAATCATTACAAAATCACACAAGACAAGCAGATGTCATGCTATCATGAAGGTTGTTTGGTACTTAAAAAATGACACATTTTAAAGTATTTTTCCAAAACATCTTCATCTATTTTGAATCAAATGAACACAATATCCTGTCTTACTACAAATCAAACAAAACAAAGACTTTCCTAATTTTCCATCAATTTCAATGTTATTTTTTACCCAAACAGGTAACATGTATTTTTGCTGAAATGATTTTATATCAATAGAAAGTTGACATTTTTGTTAAAAGAAAAAAATGTGAATATTTTTCAGTCAAGGAGGTTTGCGTCGAATTAAAGATTATACATCATGTTCATTACACTTTCATAATTATAAGTTCATACCGCCAGAATACCAAAAATTAAAATACGGGCTTACCAAATATGGAGAAAATAAACAAAATTGTCATTTTTACACTGCTAAAAATTCTCACATGAATATTATGAAAAAGTCATATATAACTATTTATATGCAATCATTTTAAAAAATTTTCCATATAATTTTGTGAATTTTGAGGGTGATTTTCCATTATATACATTAGAAGGTTATATCCCATAATGCATTGCACAAATGTGCAGTGTCATGCTCAGTAGCGCAAAATTTGAATTCAGTTCAACCTGCCTTAAGTGGTTGGCATCAATAGGCAATTCATTAAAATGCAAAATGATAGCCAGTGCAAACCATGGTTCATGGTCATATCTTGCAACATATTATTACAACAAGGGTTTTACTGTGATCAACGCTAAGATGTACTTCAATCTAGTCAAATTACACATGAACCAGACGAACATGAATACTGTTAAATCCTTTATTTTTTGCTCCAAATTTATTTTCGTTAAAGGAATGATTCAGTGGAAATAAAATTCAGCGAATACACTTTTTTTCCTATATTTTACATTCAACTTGTCAAAAAATCAGTGAAAATAAACTCCATACAAAACAGCGAAAATTTATTCTTGCTAAAATAAAGTATTTTACAGTACTCAAAAATCACTTCAAATAAAAAAAACGTACAAGTGCAGTCAGGAGAAAATTGTACAAACCTTTGTAATTGTCACTGATATTAACAATAAGTGGATTATTGATCCAATCGTGGTTGGCAAGGAGATGCAGAAAACGAAGAAATCCAACAACTGGTGATCTGCAAGAAAAAATAATCAGTGAGAGTACTTAAGAGATATAGTCTCTAACATGACCTTAATTTGACCGTGATGATATACGACTATGACGAAAGGTCGAGTACCGTAGCATGGTTGAAATAAAGTAGGTCATACAGTCAGATTTATATTTTGGAATGCATGGGTTTGTATAGAAAAAAACTGCAAGAGGGAGCACTGCAATTCAAAGGCGCCACCAAGTGGAGGAGATGGGGTTCTTCAACCAGAGTTTTTGATAATTCTAAGTTAAAATGGAGCATTCTATGGCTTCCTTGGGGCCAAAATTACTATCAGACAGATCACAGTTAAAGATCCCTGGTCAATCAGAATTTAATAGTTGCCAGAGGATCTGCTCCCCTGGGTAAGAGGCCACATGGCCATGGCATGAGGACGTTGCGCCCCTGTTCCCTTGTTTAAAAAATTATCTGGGCATGGAAAAATATAGTATTCGAAGTGTCAATGACAATATTGATTATTAAACATTTCAGAAAATAAGTTTGTTGCTTGGTGGGAGCATCACAAAATACACCAACATTTTGGTTATTTGAGTATTTGTATATATACCAATAATTCTGTACTTCACTCCATGAGAGAAACAAAGAGACAGAGCCCTCTGGTGATAATATATATAGAATCTTTCTTTTTTTCAAAGAATTTCACTCAAAGTAAGAAAGAGAAATAAAAATAAATTAAAAGTGCTGAATAATTGTTATTCTCACCACTGTATTAGCGAGATACAGATTTTGGCCTCTGGATTCATCAAAATAAAATGGCCACCAGTCAGCCAATTTGAATCCGATATGTAAACCAGAATGATGTTCCATATATAAATTTATATACAAGTTTGAACAAAATCTGTTCATACAAGACTCAGATCCAGAATTACAGAAATGTAAGTATTATGCAAATGATTCAATTATGCATGCAGGAAAATTAAGTCATAACCATATTACAATCTCATATGATTTCAATTGATATTATATCTACAGTCGATAAACTTCTCGATTTCAGCAGAGCCTTGCAATAAGGCATGAATGAGCTTGGCTTTGTTATATGTTATATTATAAGGATGAAGTAGTTGATTAATCAGTTGAAGGATAATTGTGAGCTAGTTGAGTGGTCCACAAAAGAAAATAGTATATCAAGTATCAAAGCAATTGGAGTGTCAAAAATATTTGCTAAAACTAGAGAATTAAAGATATCGTTACAAAATGAACAAGTTTGACAGGGGTCCACCCAAAGTACCTACATACCAAGTATCAAAGCAATTGAGCAGGTACTTTTCAAGAAGAAGTCAACACATTTTTACCGAAAATGACAAAAATATTTGCCAAAAACAAAGAAATGAAGACATCGGCATGAAATGAACAAATCTGACATCTGAGGTCCACCCAAGATACCTACCGGTACATACCAAGTATCAAAGCAATTGAGCTTGTAGTTTTCAAAAAGAAGTTAAAAATAGAATTGTTGACACGTGACGAGAGGAAAGGTGATGACAATTGACAATCATCTACATAAACAGCCGCACTCTGTCATTTTTTATGACAGCAGAGCTGGAAAAACGCCACTAATACACTGGAGGTGACACGTACCCTGGTACTGTGAAAGGGGCAGAGTTCAGAAACAGGTGTGCAACAAGTAATTCTATCGCCTCTTCCTTCAAATACGAGTATAATAGATGCGATGACACCCAGCGTTTGGCGAGTCTCACTGTACCACTGAAGGTCGGATTTGACTGATGAATACTGAAAAGAAGATACAAGAGCAGGTGAGATTTTTTATGTTATTTTTTACAAATTATATAACCGGTATAGTTCAGTACCAAATAGACATAATTAACATACCTATTTGCTTGAGGACTTTGTCAACATTTAAAAAACAATTATGAATAAAATGATGTGGGTTTTATTCTGTGAAATGTGACAAAGTATCCTCCAAACAAGATACATTTCTTACAATTGTTGTTAAAATGTTGATGAGAAAAAGGCTGCTTATGTTAATGGTGTAAGTGACTAGCAGGCTACTTAGGTTAGAGGAAAAAGTTACCAAAAGTCTGTGGGAAGTGGCCAAAGGGCTGCCTCGGTTAGTGTAGGAAGTGGCCAAAAAGCTTCCTAGGTTAGTGGGGGAAGCGACCAACAGGCTGCTTAGGTTAGTGGGGTAAGCGACCAACAGGCTGCTTAGGTTAGTGGGGGAAGCGACCAACAGGCTGCTTAGGCTAGTGGGGGAAGCGACCAACAGGCTGCTTAGGTTAGTGGGGGAAGCGACCAACAGGCTGCTTATGTTAGTGGGGGAAGCGACCAACAGGCTGCTTATGTTAGTGGGGGAAGCGACCAACAGGCTGCTTAGGTTAGTGGTGGAAGCGACCAACAGGCTGCTTAGGTTAGTGGTGGAAGCGACCAACAGGCTGCTTAGGTTAGTGGTGGAAGCGACCAACAGGCTGCTTAGGTTAGTGGGGGAAGCGACCAACAGGCTGCTTAGGTTAGTGGAATAAGTGACCAACAGGCTGCTTAGGTTAGTGGGGGAAGCGACCAACAGGCTGCTTAGGTTAGTGGGGGAAGCGACCAACAGGCTGCTTAGGTTAGTGGGGGAAGCGACCAACAGGCTGCTTAGGTTAGTGGGGGAAGCGACCAACAGGTGTTTCGGTTGGTAATGGAAGTGATTGAAAGACTACTTAGGTCATTGAAGAAAATGAGCAACCGATTGCTAAGGTAAGTGAAGAAAGTGACCAATAGACTGCTTAGGTTTGTTAAATGTGGAAAATATTACAGAAATCAGAATAATGCTAGTAATGAGAAATTTCCACCAGCAATAGAATCAAAGGTTGTCATAGTAACATTACTTACCTATGTAAAGCCGATGTCAATTTAGGAAGAGATATGGTTTCTTTTTCCAACTCTAAAGACTGAGTGGTGTCCCTTAACTGCAACAAACCTTGGGGAGTTGTTTCTTGTTTCAATAATACAACCTCCCTAGGATAAGCAACATGAATGCGGAAAACAAAACCATCCTGTTTGAGAAAAGAAAACAAAATTACCGTTTAGCATAAAAACAAAAGGATCAGATGTGACACATATGTTGAGGGCGTCCTTTATGGTAGAAAGTGAGGCATTTTACATACAAAATAGTTTAATTTCAAAATATCACTCGTATGATCCATTACTATCATCTATTTTAGTATCAATATTAATATATATCTGTGAGAAACATCATTCGCTGTACAAAGCCAACAGTTTTTACGTAAGAAATATCATTATATGCACATACAATTGTTTTCTATGGGGCATGAAGAAAAAAAACTTCCCCCTCCTGGTGGTGAACATTGGTATGTAAAATATACAGCAAACCACTGAAACTGGCAGTTCAAAGGTCATGTGATCAACACCAAATGAAATAGACATGTTTATATATTAAGAATTATACACAATACATCGACCTTAACGGAAATAGTCACTGAGATTGCAGTGAAAGCAAGTATTGTTTTGGCCCTCAAATAGTGTTTCATTCTCTATATGAAAGAAAAATTCATGTATTTGGTGCATACAGTTTTTTTTTAGATTTTTTTTGGCATTTTAATAAAAAATATATGAAGAAAAATTAAATTTTCAAAAAAAAAAATTAAAAAACATAAATTTAACATAAAAATAAAAATACCGGTAAACATATCACCCATGAATTGAACAGAATTTTTTTTTTTAAATATTCTATTTTTTGGTTTAAAATTTCAATTAAATACAATCACTGACAGCTTGTTAACATTTGCCCCCAAATATCGGCGGGATATGACAAAATAAAATGTTTTTATGTTTTTAATAATCAATATACTCACCACAAAAGCATCAACAAATTTATCAGTGGCTGCTGTGACGACTTTATATTCTTTGTGTAGCATCTGAGATAACCTTATATGGAATGCTGCTTTGATGCGCTGAATCGCTAATAGATCGTCTGGCCACTTACCACTGCGCTCCATGGTACAAATCACTAGGACATAATTAGGAGATGGTTTATCAGCTTTTAGTCTATCATCAATATCATGTGAAATTGGGTACCGTATTGATTCTATTAGAAGTGCATCTCTAATAGAAGCACATGCAAACTACAAGTTGTATTTATTGAATGCTGGTTCATTTAAATATGGACTTATTTTGCCATTTACGTAAGCACATATGCAACTAATAAATGGAATTCATTACAATACTTCCATGCACACATTATTATTATTAATGAAGACTATTCTATGCAAAATTTCCAAATCCAAAACAGTGATGTGGGAAATTCATTAATGTTAATGACATTTTTTGTATCATCAAGTATTTAATCTGGGGTGATGCTAACAATATATTTTTGCAACCAAAATTTGAAGTGAACACAATTTATGGTAATGCACTTCTGGAAAATTCTCACCAGACACACAAACAGATGGAAGAGACTTGTGAGGTTTTTTGACAGTGGTCATCTTGCAGCAAGTGTCTGAAATTTGTGTGCACAAATAACGTATACTTTGATATACATGACGTGGCACAAAGACCACCCCTTGTTAATTTTCTCACTATTACTAGTGACCAACTAACCCATATCGCATTGATGCAGCTTTTATTGTCTTAGGCACCAATCGTTTTAACATTTTTTTGTTTTTGTTTAAATCTTACCCTTTAACACAGGAACCCATTGGCTGGGTGTATGGGGTAATGGACACTGGATATATCCCTGCAGTCGTAGCCCTCTACTGGCAGGTTTGTGTAGAACATTGGGCGGGAAAACCTGGAAGGATATAAAATCCAAAATATCAACTGTGATTACAGTTTATCTACAATAATAAGTCAAAATAATATTAGGCAAATATAATAAAGGTCCAGTTAGTGTACTGTTTTTTTGACAAAAAGATACATTTTAATTATGCTGAGTATTTGCTGGGTACTAATCTGGTGGTGCTTTTTGAAATCATGGAAATGGGATTTTATTTATCACATGCTTATCTCTACAAACCAAAAAATGTAACACATTCTCATAAAAAGTTATTTTTCATTTGAGTGTCTTCTAGCACTGTATGTGTGCAGGCTTGCATCCGATTTTTTCGAGTGGTTGAATAATAATTCTGAAACTATGAACTTGGCAACAATTTGTTTATTATTGGACTGTAGAAACCAGGAAGTTCCAGAAAACTTGTTTGGCATAGAATGGAAAAATATTGATAGTATACATCTAGTTTCCGTGGTGATAATCTTATTTATAACTCAGACCATTGTGCAAAGAGTACAATTGCAGAGGCTCTACGAAGGCACGCATGAGAGATAGAAATTTATCATCCTTCGGTTAATCCACTACTCAAGGGGGATACGCAAGTTTTGTAACATGTGCTGAGAACACGTTAGCAGATAGGACTAACAGTTGTTATTGTCACTGTCCAATAGGGTGCCAGACTCCATAATAGGGATGCCTGTTAGTGTGCTTATTAGGCGGAATGTACTCTCATTTACAGTTCTAAGTCAGCAGTTGTTTGGAGTATTGAACCCACATCCTCCCTGATGTAAGGCACCACGGCCACCATTCGGTGGAAATATATACATATTGAATATTCACTTACCTGGGCATATCTGAATACAGGTGAAGTTCCCTGTATAGATGCTATACTCAGCGGCAAGTCTTTGAGTCCTCTTAGTTTTTTATTCAATGAATCAAAAGCATGTATGACAGCTAAATTTTCTTCATCTCCCGTTCCTGATAGCTCCTTCCGAGACTTTTTTGCAGGTTTATGCTTTTCATCTTGTGGTTGTCGTAGCAATGAATCAAGATGGCCGCCGAGGTAGGTGATGCAACCTGGGGGTATCCCAGCATGCCTTGCCAAAAAGAAAAGTTCCTCCATTCAATACTGTCTTGTTGGAATTACACTTCTAGTGGGTGTCAACGTTTTAATTTTTGAAATTGAAATAACAAACAAAGCTCCTTTGAATATTATAATTTTGCAGAATAATAGATCCACTGCTTTCTTGGAAACAAAATGGACACCATTCGGACAATCATGGTGTTGACGCCTCTTGTGGTCACGCCCACTCTGGGCAAATCTATATAACAGCAGGGGACGATCGTCATACTTTAGGAGCTAATCAGCCACAGTTAGATGATATTTTACTTTCAAATATACCAGGAAAAATGTTTTTTTAGCAGTTGGCTAATGTTACCCCGACGGATCATTTAGATGTGAAAGTTTGTCATTTTATTCCTGATTTGTAGGGAACTGTTTATCATGTGTCTCTTTATTAGTTT